TTTGGCAACCACTGTTGTAACCGTTGTGGCTCAGAGGTCAGAGTCAACGCGTCAAGGCTGGCAGAACCATAACAAATGAGGGTCTCAAAAAGGCTTTGGTAGTCTGTCCTCCCCTGTGACGGAGCCAAAGAAGGACTAGAAATGGACTTGACAGACAGCCATGTTTCCACATTGTGGTGTGTGAGGCTGTTTTCAGTAAAAGAGAGCAGGCTGGGGAGCAACGGGTTAGTTTCCTCACCTGCAATAACAGCTGAGTATCACCCACCATCACTGTCCACCAGCAGGTCGGATGGAAGGCCTCCACTGAGTTTGAGAGCTCCTCCATGTTTTAAGATGTTCTGCTTTGAATAATGAATATCAGTGTTCACGCAGCTCATTGTGCGTTTCTGCAAGTGGGTTGGTTTGCAGTGGACGTCACCCAAAAGTGCATTATATTTGCCTATATGGCGTGGCGGTCAGCACCGTCGCCTCACAGCAAGAAGGTCCTGGTTCCACGCCGCCCAGTGGCCTTTCTGTGTGGAGTCTGCATGTTCTCCCCGTGTCTGCGTGGGTTCCCTCCCACAGGCCAAACACATGCTCTGGGGAATGTGAGTGTGAATGGTTTTGTGTCTCTGTGTAGCCCTGCGATTGGCTGGCGACCAGTCCAGGGTGATCCCTGTCTATCGCCTGAAGTTGGCTGGGATGGACTCCAGCCCCTGAACTACCTTCCTGGCCCATCACCTGTGCCCATGCCGGTATCACTGTTTGTTCCTCCCTGACACACCGAGGTAGCTGATATAGTCAAATTAACCCTTAGATGCACAAGTGGGTCAAAAATGACCCAATGAGGTTGTTTTCTTGAAATATCTTCGTAATGAAAAATTGTTATCATTTCATATTTCAGGTATTCCTCAAAAATCATGTTTTTGATATAATTCCATTTACATTTTTAACTTACCTGTTATACATTTTAAGAAATTGTAGTTTTTGTATTACTACCCCAAGCTTCCATAATTGGGTCAAAAATGACCCGCATGCATTTTCTATGGAATCCAATGGGAACCTTTGATTCTTATCAACTGTGGCTGTCAGGAATACATTTGACTGTGGACCACACAGACTATATCAGAAGTGTCAACCCTCAGGAAGATTGTTTTCGAACAGCTTGTGCCATTCAGGGGTAGGTGCAAGTTTCTACAGTACATGCCAAGCAAGCCCGCCAAATACGGCCTAAAGATCTTCTGGGTTTGTGATGCACGCATCCCCTATGCAATAGATGGTATAGTTTACACAGGGAGACAACCAGGGGAAGAAGTTCAGAAGAGTCTGGGGGAAAACATTGTCCAGCAGTTGTGTAGTAGATTTAGAAACACAGGTCGCAACATCACCATGGATTACTTTTTCACCAGTGTGCCTCTTGCGCAGCATCTCCTGGAGAAGGATCCCACTATTGTGGGGACGCTACGTCAGAACAAGCCAGACATCCCTCCTCTGATGAAGCCTTCCAAGTCCAGGGAGGTTCACAGCAAAGAGTTTGGATTCAACGACAGCCTTACCATGGTCAGCTTTGTCAGAAAGGAAAAGCGGTTGTGCTCCTAAGCACGATGCACCACGACAAAGAAGTGGATGAAAATAGCAGGAAGAAAAAAACAGAAGTGATCACATATTACAACAAGACGAAAGGAGGTGTAGACACCACTGACCAGATGGTTGGCACCTACACCTGCAAGCGCCAAACACAGAGGTGGCCCATGGTGCTGTGGTACAACATAATTGACATCGCCACCCTGAATGCCTACACCTTTTTCACGGCTCAGCACCCATAATTCAATGCACGACGGCTCTTCCTCAAAGAGCTCTCAAAGGAGCTTGTCACACCACACATGAGGAGTCGACTGGAAGGCTGCCCCCAACTGCAAACCCAATTCTTGAAGCAATGGAAAGGTGTGGGGTGACAAAAGCCACAACCCAGCCACAGGAAGGAAGCAGACAGGGCCAACCAAAGAGAAAGAGGTGTCAGATCTGCCCAAGTAACAAAGATCGCAAAGTCAACAATAGGTGTGGGAAATGCAATGTACCTGTGTGCAATGATCACAGCCAGCAACAGGTAGTTTGTCTGAACTGCATTCAGTGATGAGACTTCACTGAATGCAGTTCAGACATGAAATCATTCTTCTGTGGTCCTAAATATAATACTAAATATTATATTAGTGATTATTCTTAACCAAAATGGCATAAAAACACATAGATTCTAATATGGGTCATTTTTGACCCACTTATGGAAGAGTGTAGGGTCCAGTCACTCGTGCATCTAAGGGTTAATAATTACTGACTTATATGTGACTGTACTCTTATTACAAAGTGAAGACAAATGCTTAGGAGACTGAGGTCTTTCGATGTCCACCCCTGAGCATCAGCCATCTTTAATGGAGTAGTCTGCTGGAGCAGCAGCATCTCGACAGGAAGAGACTAAATGAACTCATTAAGAAGGAGAGCAGAGGAGAAAGGATGTTCTAGGTAGGGCTATCAAATCAATTTCCGCAAACATCCCAGAATGATTTAATGCAACTGTAAAAGTATTAAAAACGCAACTGAATGTCAGCTAAAGTGTTTCATCCGGCTTCATCTTGAGATCCTGGCGCAACTAAAACACACGTGAAGGACATGGGTGTGGCATTTTTTTGGGGCGCTCCAGGTGGGGCGAGGCCCCATTGCACTCCATTGGCCAGCCGCCACTGGTCCTCTGGATGCGGGGAACTAGTGAAGTCCTCTCAAAGAGAGACTCGTTCATTTTCTTCGGTGACTTGCACAGAGTCAAGGACACAGAAATGCTTCGTTCATTTCCTGACTGGGTTTTCGGGTACGAGCCTTCGGATCGTTTTTCACGTGACTTGCATTGGTTTAGTGGAGGAAACAGTTACCAAAGACTTCACACAACACACAACAAATAAAAAGCATAAATTGTGGTTATTTATTGCCGTGGTGGATAGCGTAAATGATTATAACTCTTTACGGAGACGCCTAACAGAGACAAGCCACGCCCCCTTCCACGCGCCAATGAAGCGAAATACTGCGCGAGGGGCGAAGATTCGCTTCGCTTTTGGTGTGAACGCACCATTACAGTTTAGTGCAGTGTGTTTGCCATGATAATTAAATGCTAGTTTGATAATAAATGACCATTTCAAATCATCCAAACTGTCATAATTATTTGAATGCAGGAGTTTCTTTTAAATTAGTATCTGCTGGTTTACATGCACTAACCTCCATGAGAACATGATACGTATTTAGGTCAGGGAACTGGCCTATAAAATGTTGGAAACACCCCCCCTCCCCCGGTGAAATGAACGAATGACTCGAAAAAAGATTCGTTCACTTTACTGAACGAGATTGAAAGAACCGAGTCAGTAAAATGAGCCGAACTTGCCATCACTACGGTGAACGTGGTGGGAAGCAGGACTCCTTCAGCCACCGGCTGCTTCCCCCTAGTGTGAGAAGGGGGCCGAGCAGGTCCTCCTTCCTTCCCAGTACACTTTGTTTCACTTCATACAAGAGGCTCTCTGCATCGCCGTCTGTCCGTTTAGCTGACTGCAGCGCGCTCAGGGGTCAACGCACATCGGACGAACAAAGACCCGTCCTCCGTTCATCTGAAAGAACTGGTCTTCCCTTTATTATGGATACAATTAAAGTAAAAGAAACACTTTACATAACTGCGTTGCTTCCTGAGATGCTTCCGTGTAAAGTTCCCTGCGTCGGTGAAATACAGCACTGCCATTTAATCCCCCATCTAAGTCAATTATGCATCCAGGATCAGGTTGCTCCTGTCCGCATGCTGCAGCGCACCTGCTAAGAAGTACAACATTCAAATACCCAAAGTTAATAAGTTGCTCAAAACAAGAAAGAAGTTGATATCGTCAGCCTGTGTGTGTGTGTGTGTGTGTGTGTGTGTGTGTGTGTGTGCCTTCTCATTCACACCAAAGTTTCCTTCTCCTCAAAGCCCGGTGTCTTCAGCGCTTCATGGATGGAGCTCCCCGAGGGAAAGGATAGGCAAGTGTTTCCCTCCGGCAGCAGGAAATGGGCGAAACCTGAAATTATGACTGGAGCATTGTGTTGTGTGAAGGAAGCCACTCCTGATAGCAAAGGCCACAGGTTTCCTGTGGCGGGCCAGCAGTCCAGGCTCTACCTCAGGCAGGATTCAACGATTCAAAGCTTCACATCATGCCACAGAAAAGGCTGCTCCTGTTACAAGGACTCACACTACTTCATGTCAACAATCCAAAAGTCCCTTTTAAATGGTGCCACATCTGTAAGGAACATGCCTTTATGTGACGAGCAGCAGAGCCGAGCAATTGGGTTGCACCGTTGAAAGATTTCTCAAACAGCTCATTCGCCCACGGATTCTTGTTTGGTGTTGTTCAACGTTCTTTTGTGTACTTGCAGTATTTTAGAGGGTAGTATCGCCACTTTCTTGAAGTAGATGGGTATCACTGGAGGATGTACCAACCTGCTCCCTCCCCATTCGACACACACACAGTACCTCGACACAGCACAACAAAGTACATGACACAAGCTTCATCTTAAATCAGCCTTGCAGATCGTTTTGCCTTGTCCAGGTGTAACGTGTTACACACACACACACACTAATGTATGTCAACCTGTTGTGGTTGTACAGAACATCCTAAAGTTATTGTCTGCTGCTCACAGTGTGACTTGTTCACAACACTGAGCTCCATGTGAAAAGCACATGGCCATCGGTATCATCACGACTCTTTGGGAAGTAGCTCCATAAACAGCATTCACTTCATTATCAGCAGTGAGTGAACACTTTGCTCCGTCCAAATCATTCATTAATGAATTCCTAGCAGGCATCATTTTGAAAGCAAATAGGTGATATTTGTTCAGTCATACTGGGTATAATGTTAGAGAGTATTTGGGGAGTTCCTCCCAGTGCTGTGGAGACACAGACAGCCAGAGACTTGTTGTTCTATCCGCCTTTTCAAAAGAGCTTTAAAACAAACAACAGGTTTCAATTTCGGAAACAATATTTTTAATTATTGAAATAAATACTCCATTACATGCATGATCAAAACACTTTAAAATACTATGGGAAGTCTGGTAAATAGTGTAAAACCTATGGCACACACTCACAGCAGCTTTTTGCCAATTAAGAATTCACAAGTTGAAAACCACAACAAAGCAGTGAGACGCTCCGACCCCCCTCTAATCTCACAAAGCACACGTAATGGAGCAGGTGACCAACCGCAGGCCACATCCACCGGCACCGCCGCTGAAAACTGAGGTAAACTTTTCAGGTTCGTCGCGGAGAGCGGGCGGTCGGCAGTAACCGGGTCGGAGCCACATCCAGCGCGACACAGAACCCCGTGGCGTTACTGGCACTCCTCGGCGTCCCAACACGCAGCCGGCCGAGGACCCGGGCGAGTCCCTCTGGCACGGCGGGCAGGAGCCTTCCTAAACTAATTCACAGAATGGGAGTTGACTGGCGGCAGCGCCCTGGGGGAGGAGCGCTCTCTGAGGGCCTGGGTGAGCAGCGTGCAGCCGTCGGACACGGCGCACGCAGAGTTACGCAGGCGCTCGCGGTACTCGGCCATCTTGGAGCTGCTCTCGGGGTGCTGGGCAACGTCTCTGAGGCCCTGAGTTAGGAGGACGCAGGCCGAGACCACGCTCATGGCTCCCCCCAACACCGCAGTCTGTACCCCCTTCCCTTCTGGGGAGATGCCCGCGGCCCTCCCGAGGAACTGCGGCTCCGTGGCGAACCCGACCAGGGCGCCGACGGCCTGCACCAGAGCCGCACTGAAGAGGACGCAGCGGCTGCGGGTCAGCTCGCAGGGCTGGCTCTTCACCTCCTTGACGCAGGCCAGGAAGGCCGTGCCGCTGGTGCTCATGCTCTTCACGCTCAGCTTGAACTGCTCCTTGGCAAAGCGGTCCCTGGACTTCTCGCTGGCTAGCGAGGAGATATCAGTCAGATTCTTAAGGTTGGTGGAGATGTTCTGAGAGAGCTCAAGCAGGAGCTGGGGGGTGAGGTCCGGCAGGGGTGTGACCCGGAGGACGCCGCAGCTCTGCTCCACTTCGTGCCGGCAGCGGGTCACCTTGTAGCGGTCCACCAGGCCCGGCAGGCAGGGCTGAGAGCCGGCGGTCTCCACGGCCGCCAGGTAAGCGGCGTGGGCCGAGCACTCGGTCAGAGACACCACCAGGTCCGCCACCTCCACGAGGCGGTCCCCCACCTCCACAAAGCGGCCCATGTTGAGCTGGCTCTGGATGTCGTGGGTGAGAATGGAGAGCTCCTTGGTCCTGGCGATGACGGTGTCGCGGCACTGGTCGAAGGTGTCGGCCACCGCTACGCCTTCAGACGTCATGACGGGCCGCGTCTCGCTGGACAGCAGCAGGAGGTCGGCCACCAGCTGCATTTTGCCCTTGCAGGTGTCACACGTGGAGGAGAGACGCTTCCTCTGCTGCAGCGTGACGCCGGGTACGCCGGGGGACCCCTCGCTAGCCGAATTGCCAGAGCCACCACTCGCCATAATAGGGAGGGGAGGGGGTGGAGGTGGGCGGGGGTCAAACAGCTCTTGTGGAGGGGATCAGTTATGTGTGCTTATCGGCATCTTACAGTTGGAGACATTTCCAAGAGCAGCCTCACCTCCCTGTTTTCTACAAACACGTGTAAATAACTGGCCACCTCCTTCAGAATAAAAGTCATGAATTACAGATGTAAACATGTAGAAAGAACTGCATTTACTGTAGGAATCGTACGATCACTAAAGCCCGACTACGACCGCCGCTGCTCATTAGTTAGTGAAGTTCAGAACGATCAGTGTAACGAATTCCATGCGGTCGTCCGAATTACTTAAATGCCCTAAACAGCGTAATCCAAAAGACAATGTTACCATCGTTGTCCCTCACAGGTTGGACACGAGCTGCAGTGACCTTTTAACAGGCAAAGTGCACAACGTTCAAACAAGAAAAGTCAATAGCGGCTTCTTTTTGTGAACATAGCCAAGAAAACGCCACACTTCGATCTAGTGACCTAAATGTCTTTTCAGTCTCTCCTCTCATTTCGTGTCCACTCGCAGCCTGAAACAGCACCGAGGTTTTGTCCCACTTGCTCCCAGGGAGTTGGACCGGCCTGGCGGACTCATGCTGCTCGCGAACGGGGCTCCACCGGGGCGGCTCTCTGGGACAGCGGGAAGAAGCGCGTTTCCCTCCGGCACCATCGCTTCACGAGCTCCTCCGAGGCGAATCCACCGGGACGCGGTCCCGTCACTCCGCTTTCAACCGCTTCTTTTTCAGGCAGAGTCCCGGGTTACACGCCGGCAGCTGCATCGTCCGTGTGCCCGCGTCCTAACTCGGGACCACTGGCCGTGGAGCCCCGCATGTCTTCCGAGAGGACTCGCCGCTCATGTCCTAGCAGGCTCCGGTGTGCGCACGCGGAGCCCCGTGCATCGGGGGGGGGGGGGCTGCTCCGCGGGAGAAGCGGCCGTTATTCCCGGCGGCTCGGGGTCGCGCCGCGCGCTCCCGCTGCAGCGCTATGAGGAAGCGGGGAGGGTGTGGTCGCGCCTCCGCGGTCACACAGAAGCGAAAGAGCGGCGCAAGTTGCTGTTCTCTCAGAATCCGCGTCCCATCCGGCTCGTGAACGGCTCGTTGTCTCGCGCGGACGAAGAATGCGGTTCCTTAGAAGCAGGAGATCCGAGGAGTTTAGCGGCTGCTGGTACTTTAGTTAATCAGCCGTGAGACGTCCCCGTTACGTCAAGCGACCTGCGGCCGAGTCGCTCAAATGACACCGGAAGCTGTTCCTTTTCAAAATAAAGGGAATTCCGGATATTTCAGAAAACGTGAGGGTTTAGACTCCATTCAGTTAAATCATAGTAGCATCTATACAAATATAGCAAAGTAAAGGGAGTATCAGTTGGAACCACTGTTTTTAATTCTCTAGTGAATCAATTATTGTTATTTTGCCATCAGAACTCTTGGCAGCAGTGGGGCCCGACCCCACCTCGAGCCACAAAAACATGATAATACTTTTTACAAATAGTCAATACGTTTGTATACATTTGGGGAATGTGAAATAACACAGATAACAACAATGCTCCTTTACCTCATGCTGTACTTTCTTTCAATATCAGTGAAATGTGACTCGTATAACAGAAGATAGTGGTGCCTGTGATGTCATTGTCCAACCAGGTGTGGACGGTATCCAACGACCGTTGAAGGTGAAGAGCAAAAGGTCTAGTTTATGCTTCTGCGTTTTCAGAGAGACGCAAGGGACACGCAGACGCAGGAGCCCCTTGCGTGTCCCTTTCGTGTCCCCTGCGTGTCCCTTCACACCTCCTTGCGTGCGTGGACCCATTTTTCAAGTACAAGTACATAAAATTTCATCAGCAAAATATACAAATATAAAGTAAACTAACACATTAATAAAGCAGAAAGCTTCATTCATTGACGACATTGTCCTTCATTTAACTATAGATGACGAAGGAAATGGTTGTGATCCAAAATGGACACCTGTACCTAACAGAGGAAACATCATTCTCTCAGACTATCTTACACGTGCAGAATGATGAAGCTATGGTATGTTGCACGGTAACCAAGCCTCCAGTCTTCTGTCCCGTCAGTGGGATGTGCACAGGGCACAGGGCCATTGGGTGGAAACAGCTGGACAGGTCCTGTCAGCTAGGCTGAGCTCTGAGCTCCACACCCCCATTCAAACACTGCCTTTTGTACTTAAATAGTCTGTCTGGTCGTGTTCTACATATCTTTCTTATTGTCAGCAAATCTGCAAACGTCAGCTCTATACACAAAAATACTCCCAATTAAAAGCTCAATTTCCTCCTGTTTAAGGGACATTTGTGAGACTGCTGTCACAATGATGATGGTGATGATGATGATGATGATGGTGGTGGTATGTACATAAGCTGTATTCAAAGACTTACATTACATTACATCTTCAATTTGACTTGAAGGCTAACCAAGATCAGGGCTACAGAGAGAGGAAAGAATTACTAAAATGATTAACTTCTCTAAATATTTACTGGACACTTAATCACAATAATGGGGAATCAATGAAACATACATTAAGGGTTGAAATATGTATGTAATGTTGGCTTTATTTTGAATTGACGTGGTGTGCGTGTCGCCAGCGCCGGTAGCGTTTTGCCGCTGTGACACGCCCCTCCCGTCATGTGACCGGCATACTCCACAGCCAATGACGAGTCACCATCTGTAAACATGGCGTCTGACTTCAGGTGGAGACGTGTAACGCTAGTGCTCCTCCTGTGCACACATGTATTTTGTATATTAGCTAGTGACACAGCCAAAGAAAAGCCAAAGAAAAAGAAGGACATTCGAGACTATAACGATGCAGATATGGCCCGGCTGCTGGAACAATGGGAGGTAACGTTAACGTTGCTGTGTTCATTTAGCCACAGGCATTAGCCGGTGGCTATCCTAGCCGTTAGCTAATGTAATGCTAGCTAGTGAATCCTCTATTGTAAGGGACATGGAACTCCTCGTTATCAACGCAAACAGTCGTAGGTATTACAACCACCAGCCCGATGCCAGTTGTCTACCAGGAAAACGTGCATCCTGAAACCGTAACGGTGACGGTAGCAACGCTTTCGGAGAGCATATCTATCCGTAGGGATGCATTGTGACGTCATAGACCGCGGTGTAGCCAGCCCGCACGGTATCTTGCTGGACGCGTGTGTGTATCTTTACTAGGCATTACGGTAGTACGTGCACCCACTGCCTTCAAAATAAGAGCAGTTCGCCTGGAGGTGATAGAATTCAGGTCAAATTCATTCAATACGTCTGTAAATCATATGAATCATGTGTTATAATACATTAAAACATAGTCGAATAGACAGAAGCAGGATATGCCGTTTATTAATGCTAACACAATAGTAATCACTGCAACAGTATTGAAGGGAAATGTAATTTCATTTGTGTAATCACTTATTCAAATACAGATCAAGGAATAAATCCACACAGACCAGAGAATATCAGGACACTTTTCAAAATTAAACCCCTTCAAAATCTCATTCATGAGTTTAAAACAGTTTCATAATAATTTCACTTCAGGTTAACAGAACCTTAATGTGTCACAATGACAATCAGGACATTCTGATGCAGCATTTAAACATTTAAATTCCAGAGCCAATTTGTGGTCAATTTCAGATTAGATTTGAAAGGAAATGGTTAAATAATGATTTTTCTTCTGGTTGATAGTACACCACCTTAAGGTGTCACTCAGGGATGATCAGGACTTTCTATTGTGCATTTCAAAATTAAAGCCCGTCAATATCTCATTCATGAGCCAACTTCCTAAAAGGTGATTCAGTGGAGCTGTTAGATGTGTGTGTTTCTTAAAGCAGTGGAGATCACAGTGGAGTCCAGGAGTAATCCTGTGCCTGCTGGATGTAGTCTATCTACACTTAAATGAATTAGCTTTTTAAAGACAAGACGCTCAGATTGGCAAGACCTGCCAATACATGAGTGGTAGAGAAAACACTGCGGAAAGAACTGAGAAGTGATGCTCCGATCAAAAAAAGACAGAAACTGATTGACGTCTGACCCATCTTACCTGATGACTCAGTGTACACTATTTCTGCTCCTTGTTCCATAGGAGGATGACGACATTGAGGAAGGGGACCTGCCAGAGCACAAGAGATCTCCTCCCCCTATCGACTTTGCCAAGGTTGACCCCTCCAAGCCGGAAGAGCTGCTCAAGATGTCCAAGAAGGGAAAGACTCTCATGGTGTTTGCTACGGTGTCAGGAGATCCCACCGAGAAAGAGACAGAAGAGATCACAGGCCTGTGGCAGGGAAGTCTCTTCAACGCCAACTTTGATATTCAGAGGTACTTACTTAAGTGTTTGGGGTATCTAAATTGCACCACCTAAAAGTAACTTGTACAACCACAACTAAAACCCTCCGAACTATCACTCCAACCGCTATTAGGACAGAACTGGTGGTTACTTTATGGCCCTCTTGCTGTTTGTGCTGAAACGGGGGACGTCTGCTTGGTGGTGGAAAGGAAATAATGTTCTCTGAGAGGTCTGGAGTGAACATCTGGCTGACCTCATGTTGTGGACTCATTCCCATCAATGTGTCAAAGGGCCTCGTTTCCATGCTTCATTATTAGCTTTTCCTGGAGGTAACTACATCCGAAGGCCTTCATCAGAGGATGGGGTTTGTTGAGTCAAGCGACACCCATCAGAACCCCACAGAATGAAGTGGCAGTGAGTGCCACTTCACCGCTTCTAACAGATTCACGTGGTCTCTCACACCTCCAGGTCGTTTTATTGATACAGGCTTTGGTAAAATATATATAAAATAAATGTGGGGCATGTGGAGCGTGCGTTAGGGCTGCAACTACCGGTTATTATTGTAATCGACTAATATATTGACTATTTCTTTGACTAGTCGACTAATCTAACGATTATTTACCACATTGTAGGAGCGTGCAAACAAACAGAGGCACGTTTTGCTTTCGGCTCAACTCTGTTGTACCATACGGACTTTTGAAGCGATAACCCGCCCGGCCTTAGAGGAAATCAGTTCTTGCTTTTGGCAAGAGACTGCAAAGAGCTGCGGGGCTCCAGAGTAAAGAGCAGGATGGGCTGTAGCTACGGTTTAGTACCTATCTGATAATACTTTGTTCTCCAATGCAATTGTGGAGGGAAATTTTACTTCAAAACATTCATTTCTGAGTAATACAATGCATTGTTACATAGTTTACAAAATAAACCACTTAAAATATCAAAGCGAATATAAATATACAACCGCTTTCATTTTATGGCATCAGTGTTATAAATTCTAAGATTTGATCTAGATTCATATTATTGTTACAACTAAAAAGCCCTTTATTTTGGGTAACCGTGAAAAGCAGGATGTGGCCCACTTTGTTCTCCCCAATAGATGACTACTACTTTTACATGGGTAGATTCCCACTGAAGTCAGGATGGTTGCTGAGCGGTACCTGGTGTCATCCTCCTGTCCTCCTGCAGGTTCGTGGTGGGCTCCAACAGGGTGATCTTCATGCTGCGGGACGGCAGTGTGGCCTGGGAGGTCAAAGACTTCCTCGTGGGCCAGGAGCGCTGCATGGATGTTACCGTGGAGGGACAGGTGTTCCCCGGGAAGGCTGCCGAGAAGCATGATGCCAAATACCAGCCCCAGAATGGAGTCAACACCAAGAAGAAGCCCAAGAAGAAGACTGAGACCAAGCCCAACTTAGAGGGGAACAGTGCCAGGCCTCTGAAACGGGAGCTCTGATGGGAAGAGACCTTCGACATGCATACAGTGACAGTCTGTCAGCAAAAAGCTCTTGAGGGAGTGAGTGGACTGATGAGCACAGTAGGCGAGACTCTCCTCCGCTTCTCCCTCAATAAGTTGCAGAATTGAACGAGCTTTTTCAGATCTGTTGTAAATCAATGCTGGTTTCTTTACATGTTTTGTTTTGTTCAAATATGATCGGTACTTCACATGAGACATGTTTGATCACATGCAGCAGCATTTCACACAAGATCCTAAAGTCGCATCTACATTTTCTTTGATTTTTCACTGAATATGAAAATAAACCATTTTTACTACAATTCTGAGATTCCTTCAGAAGATAAATGCACTAGAATGATGTGGATGTGATGAGCAAGCTGCTAGACGCAGCTGTTATTGTTCACACATGTCATATTGTAGTTTGAGGTGTGGCCAACAGAAGGCCAAACGTCCACCGGTTAAAGCCAGCGTCACTCACATTCTGATGAATTCCTGTTTCACTGTGCCAACACACTGTGGTCAAAGACACAGAAGCCAGTAAAGACCACAGTTCAGAAGGCACAAACCTTGAGAGAATCAACAACGTTCCGCAATGTTCAGATGAACAGCGGTGGGCCCCTGAAATGATCCCTCACCATGGAAAATATGATACAGGTTTCACAATTTGCCGCCTCTAAAGTTGGACCGGCGACTCCGCTCGCTCAGTGTGTCTTGTCTACAGTTAACTACTTACTCTAAAACGAAATTCTTATATTGCACAGTCCTCCTTCCACAAAATGACAATAACACACTAATGGTGCGTCCACACCAATATCAAACCGAATTTTCTACTCTGGTGAGTTTACTCGGCCGACTATGCTTAATTTGCGTCCGGAGGGGGCGTGGCTTATCTCCATAATGACAGTTATCATTTCCACTATCCACCATTGAAATAAACACTTTCTGCTTTTGTTGTGCAAATTACACAACTGTCATGACATCCTTCGCCACACACAGCTTGACTGTGTGCCGCTGCAGGGTAGATAGCTTAGCCTAGCAGCCACTCATCCCCCTTGTGTTTGACACATGGAATTCATCGGCACAGCTCTCTGTTGTATGTCGCGCCTCTGTTTGCTCTACTTCCAATGCAAAAAGCTCTCCTACCGCCTAGGTATCTCCTGTGTAACTGTCGGCAGCTACTGATGGTTTTCTTTCAATTCAATTCATTTTATTTTGTATAGCCCAAATCGCAAATTACAAATTTGCCTCAGGGGGCTTTACAATCTGTACACATACAACATCCTCTGTCCAGAAACCTCCACATCTGCACAGGAAAAACTCCCCAAAAAATGAAAAACCCTTCCAAGAGGGAAAAAAGGGAAGAAACCTTAGTGAGAACGTCAGAGGAGGATCCGTCTCCTGATGGACAGACTACAATGATGTCATGTGTACAGAATGAACAATGTATAATACATGAGACTATATGACAGAAATGATTCAAGTAATTGTGAGTAGTAAACCAGACGCACAGCAGGACCACTGCAGGGACCACCACCATCACATAGAACCACCATCAGATAGAACCACCATCAGATAGAACCACCATCACATAGAACCACCATCACATAGAACCACCATCACATAGAACCACTATCACATAGAACCACCATCAGATAGAACCACCATCACATAGAACCACCATCAGATAGAACCACCATCACATAGAACCACCATCAGATAGAACCACCATCAGATAGAACCACCATCACATAGAACCACCATCAGATAGAACCACTATCACATAGAACCACCGTCAGATAGAACCACCATCAGATAGAACCACCATCACATAGAACCACCATCACATAGAACCACCATCACATAGAACCACCATCACATAGAACCACCATCAGATAGAACCACTATCACATAGAACCACCATCAGATAGAACCACCATCAGATAGAACCACCATCAGATAGAACCACCATCAGATAGAACCACCATCACATAGAACCACCATCACATAGAACCACCATCAGATAGAACCACCATCACATAGAACCACCATCAGATAGAACCACCATCACATAGAACCACCATCACATAGAACCACCAGCAGATAGAACCACCAGCAGATAGAACCACCATCCACAGAAGCCTGTGGGGAGGGAGAGCACAAATACTTTAGGAGAGGGTAATGTTGGTTTATGATTACAGTAATATGATTAATATCTAAAATAATAATGATGATGGCAGCAGCAGGCGTCAGCAGGGCCACGACAGGTGTCAGGACCAGGGTCCAGAAGGAACCACGATCTACGGAGACCTGCTAGGGGAGAAAGCACAAAAAACTCCTGGAAAGAAGCTGAATTAGTCATGTGCATTAATAAAACGTGGATTATTGTAGAACGAGAGCGTGAGAGAGGAGCTCGGTGTGTCTTAAGAAGTCCCCCGGCAGTCTAAGCCTATAGCAGCTTAACTAAGGGCTGGTACGGGCTAACCTGAGCCAGCCCTAACTAAGCAAAATCAAAGAGGAAACTCCATGCTGCATTATCTGCCCCAAAAATAGTGTGCATGATGGTTCAGGCCTGAATGTTATTGCACCGCCTATCGATGAAAGGGAATTACACACTACGCTATGATGTAGTCGGTTCACCAGATTGCCAACAATTTGGGTTTGATAAGCCTTCTGACATTCAGGATTCTTATTGATGAACATTCCTATTCCGAGTCCTAGTAAAACACTTGCTGTAGCTACCCGTCATTTGCCATGGAAAACGACCATTTTTGTGAAACTAGATTTTAATTAGTTGTTTGATAGCTCTTCACTACAAGTACGACAATTTTTTACGAGACAGACACCATCAGTTATTACATGGCATTAACATGATGTTGTTTGAACTGATATCGAGCAACAGGATTCATGTGGTTGTTTATGTTGGCACTTAACTAACCAGAATCAATAAAAAAGTTGTAATCCCATATATGGCAACACATATCCAGTAAGAAGTTAAAGCTGGACTCATAGTAAACATGTCCCACAGTGGGCGGAGCTTAGACTTATGCATCTTATGCATCAGACGTTTCAGGGTGTTACTGGATCTAAACCCCAAAAAGGCACTTGAACCCTTTGGTCCAAGACTTTGAACCACTCAAGCTCACAAGAGCATTTATATAGAAGAAAATCCCTTTTACATTATAAAAGTATCTGTGGATAAATCCAAACAACTGAGAATCACTTATAGAGAAGATCAGTCTTCTCTATAAGTGATTCTCAGTGGTTCGGATTTATCCACAGATATATCTATAATCAATGTCAATTATCTGTGGAATAATACCAATGTACAGTTATGTTTGTATTTGATGTAATGTAATCAACTGGAATGCATGCATGTAATACTTGCACAACAACTGATATTGACTATGGCCGGGGAGCTTCGGGCGGTCGGCCAGGCGGGCGGCCAGACGGCCGGGAGGGCTCTGGGGGTCGGCCTGGCGGACGGTCAGCCATCTGGCTCTGGAGCGCCGACTGCAGGGCCCTGAACGTCTCTGGAATGGCTGGCTGGAGGACACGGGAAACCTCCGGAGTCGTCGCCGGCTCGGGGACGTGGGAAACCTCCGGGGTCGTCGGGGACGCGGAACACCTCCGGGGTCGGCGGCTCAGCCCCCCCCATATCCCTCCCTCAAGGGCCGGATCCCAGACGGCCCTCAAATCACCAACGGGAGGATGGGAGAGGACCACGGGATGGGAGGGAGGGTGCCTGAGTCGGGGAGCGGGGACTGAGCAGAGAGTCTCGGGGCCGGTGCTCGCGGGGTCGGGGCTGAGAGTCTCGGGGCCGGTACTGGCGGGGTCGGGGCTGAGAGTCTCGGGGCGGTACTGGCGGCGTCGGGGCTGAGAGTCTCGGGGCGGTACTGGCGGCGTCGGGGTCATGAGTCTCGGCCCGGTACTGGGGTCGGAGGAGCAGGAACGGAGGTTCGCTGTGGCCAAGCGGGAACAGGAGGTCGCTGCGGCGGCCCAGCGGGAACGGGTGGTCGCTGCTTCCTCTTGCCAGGGCTCCTCCTGGGATTTAGGAGGTCCCGGAGCTCGAGGCAGGCAAGCTGAGGACCAAATACAAAGTTTGTTTTGCGCTGCCAGAACGGGCTCCTCACATCAAGATAGTTGGGTCCGTAATCTGGCAGCGGGTCCGCTGAGTCCCTTCGTGGTCGCGTCATTCTGTCAGGGATGCGGGAAAGGCAGGACTCAAACGCAGACGTCGAGTAACAAAAGAAGACAATAGTCAAAAATACCAAAAGCAAAGGGCCAAGGGGCAAAAACACACACGAACCAGGGCAAAAAGGCAGGCACGAACTAGACACATCCAGGACGTTCGACAATGACGCGACAAGTGACACGAGACACACACTGCTTAAATACTAGGGGTGTAACGATTCATTTTAACAACTATTCAATTCGAATCGCGATTCATGGTTGCTGATTCGTTTCATGGACAATCTGGGATAATTTAGAACGATTCGATCCAATTCAGTGATTTAAAATCGATTCAGTAACTTTACTCGACAGTGCGGACAAAGTTTCTGAGATCCCTGTTGTTTCTTGTAAGGAAATCAGGTTTAAATGAATTATGGATATTATAAACAAGCAAACAACAATTGATGGCAAATGTATTAACATTTTATTGTGCAACCATTTTTAATGTAAACATTACACAATAATTATGTTTGGATCAATTCACAGAGCCCGGATTTTCAACCACATTGTAGGGCCGCATGTCTTTACAGATAAACTTGGCAATTGTTACTGTGATGTTTTTCGCCCGCGCTGAGCTTCGTGCTGGCGAGGCCAGAGCTGGAGTTACCTGCTGCTGCTGCTGCAGCGGTAACGCTGCTAGAGGTGCCTGACTGTCTGTGTTTTGTTTAATCCCATGGCGCCTTATGGCGCGTTTCCACCGAGCGGTACGGTGCGGGTCGGGTCGGTACCCTTTTATTTGTGTCTCCACCGCCATAAGTTGAGAATGGTACCAAAAATCCGAACCGAACCGTACCACTTTTTGGGTAACCTTCCGTTGGGGTAACTGGCACAGTTGTTTGGTACTAATGGGTGGAGCTAGACTCACTGCAGAACGTTGATTGGTTGAAAGAGTGTCGTCATTTGTGCGTGCCGCAAAGGGGAAAGACAACACATGAGGCGCCATTTTTAAACTACAACACCGTCGCAACATTGTCGCCACGCAGCATTACTTTACCGTGGTCAACCCAGGAGTTTTCGCACGATCGAATGACGTCAATCTACTTTCCATCATATACCACACCTATCAAGTGACGTTATCACTACTTTCTGG